TATGCACGTGGACCGGGATCGGTCTCACGGGACCATCCACCTCCATCAACGGAAGTACGTGATGGGGGTACTGGACCACTTTGGAATGGGCAGCAGCAAACCAGTGGGAACGCCGCTAGCTACCGGGTTCTCTTCCCTCACAGGAGAAGAAGAACCAGCCATCGATGAAGCTGAGGGGAAGCGCTTTCATTCGCTAGTGGGCTCACTCATGTATGCCGCTGTTTCCACTCGACCCGACCTATCATTTGCTGCTGGGGTGCTCGGGAGAGCCGTCACAAGCCCGCACGTTGAGCACATTCGAGCTGGTGCACGCATGCTTCGTTACCTCAATGGGACACCAAGCATGGGGCTGATGTATGAAGCAGGCCCCGTCGAACTCAAGGGCTATACGGACTTGGACTGGGCTGGCGATGCAGCCACCCGTAAGAGCACGTCCGGCTACGTCTTCACATTGCTTGGGGCAGCAGTGAGTTGGCAAAGCAAGAAGCAGCCGACGGTGGCACTCAGCTCAACAGAAGCCCAGTATGTAGCTCTCACCCAAGGAGCTATGGAAGCCATTTGGCTGCGCCGTTTGCTTGCCGAACTTGGGCATGAACAACGCAGCCCTACACCCCTGTTCGTTGACAACCAGGCAACAATCAGCCTTGCGCACAATGCTTTCCTTCACGGCCGCACCAAGCATGTTGAGGTAAAGCATCACTTTATTCGTGAAGTGGTTGAGAGAGGTGAGGTGATACTCAGTTACATCAGCACCAAGGCACAGCCTGCTGATTTTCTCACGAAACCACTTCCCAAGGATGCTTTTCGAGCATGTTGTGAGAGAGTTGGTATGCACTCTTAGTGGCTTGGGTGCAAGGGAGGGTGTTGGAAGGAAACTGCTGGTTGGGCGGTTTCGTGCCCCCAACCCACCGTCTCTCGGTCCTTCGGGATTGGATGGGCTGAGAGGGTGGAGGGGGTGGCTGCTGGAGAGGCCTTGACCTCGCAGTTGGGTGCCACGTGGAGGCACCAGAATCCAACCCCATGGACTGTGGAGGAATTCCGCTGAAGTCGGCCACCGAACTGTACCGTACCAATTTGTTACACTCGGCGAATTCGCGACACGAGATGTCACGAGTTCGATGTACATGCGCGGTTCGGTTTTTTGCTTGTCGTTATATATTTGTGTGCTTGGATGCTTGTCAACATAGTGAATACTGGAATTGCTTGTACATGGCACAGCTTCTTGAAATTCCAGAGAGCTCACGTTTGCTCACATCCTCATAGTCTCTAAGCTATTCCCAGCTATATCTCGGCCGTCTCTTAACCGTCTGGCGAGATCTTTGGCTTGTTGGAAAGCTAGCTCTATAATCCGTCCCGTGACGTTGTATTGAGCAACTGAGCTCAAGAGGATAGTGTCCTCTTTCACCTGAGACACGAACGTGAACGAGGTAGCCCCAGACGTGGAACGCGGACGCGTCACTAGGCAACCCGGTCCAGAGAAGGGTCGGTGAAACCTATGGCCGCTGGGAATGCGGCCACAGGTTAAGCTGGTGAGTAGCGAACGGCGAAGAGCCACAGAAAATGGGGTGCACCGGCATGGATCATGGAGGTACGAGCCACCTCCATGACCAAACCGATGCGTCGCTCAGCGACCCCATTCTGCTGCGGGGAGTCCGGTAGGGTGTACGACTGGGTGATGCCCTCCTCACGACAGAACTGTCCAAGCCGACTAAAGGCGAACTCGCCGCCACGGTCGGAGTGGAGACACAGCACAGGGAGACCGCTGTGGACGCGCGTAGCTACTACCCTTGGAATAAGAACGCCAAGTACGTCAGCCTTCCACTCTAGGGGAAACAAAGTGGTGTAGCGCATGTAGTCGTCGACAAGCACTCGAAAGTAGCGCTCTAGACGCGGCCCAGGGACGGGAGCTGGGCCCCAGACGTCCAGGTGTAGGGTCTGGAGTGGCGCGGTGGCAGGGCAAAGCGAGGAGGAGTGAGGAGCACGGCGCAGCTGACCCTCGACGTAGTGCATGCACGGCGGCGCAGGTGAGGGAGGGAGGGAGGGCATGGAGCGACGCAGGGAGACTTAGAACAAGACCGTGCTGAGTCATGTGACGCAGACGCGGGAGTGCGGGGTGGCCTAGACGGTGATGCCACAGAAGCGACGGGTGAGTGAGCGACCGACACGATCAAGTTGCAGAGACCTGGGAAGACGGAGGAACCGGGGAGGACGCGCCCATGGGGGGGGGGGGGGGGGGGGAGCAGTGTCCAGCGTAAACAGGCCAGACACCGGATCTCGGAGGAACGTCGCAAGGGGGGCACCTGAGGCGGCCTCGGTACAGACAGCGTACCGCTCGTGACCAGGGAACATAGCAGTGACGCCAAGGTCCTGAAGACAGCCGACACCAACAAGGTTTCCTGGAGAACGAAGGGATGTGCAGGCCTGTAAGAGAACCCTAGGGAACCGCTGGACAGGGAAGGGTGGTGTAGCTACGGGAAACGACAGGACCGGAGGAGGGGTCAACAAGCGCGACAGCGGCAGGCGTTGCAAGCGGCGTCAGTGCAGCCTGGTCGCAGAAGAAGCAGGCAGACGCGCCAAAGTTAAGCGTAAAGGACAGCGAAGTAGAAGCTGCGGCCGGTGGAGGAGCGAGCGTGGAGCCTAGACTAAACAAGGTCCTACGCCTGATGGAGGAGGGGAGTCTGTACTACACATAGGAAACAAACCTGAACTAAGCAACACAAGGTAATAAGATCTGGGCACACTAGAAGCATCAGCATACAGGGAATGCAGAGCAAAACAAACCTTATCCATATCTAACAGAAAGACAGGCACACTGTGGCGCAGGAGACTAGCTCAGTCAGGAAGGTCCGGCGCCGGGCCGAAGCGGCGACGAAAGTGGCCATCGAGGCGGCGGAAGCAGCGGGCGGTAGGGTGTGGGCGACGACACACAGTACCGCGGTGGGGGCCGGTCTGGAGCTGGTACTGGCAGCCCCCAGCGCCAAAGCTGCCGCTTGACGCCGAGCTGCGAGGGCTGCCAATGCGGCCACCACCACTAGAGGCACCGGGCCACCCTGACGGGACGCGGGCCCATGACTGCTGCGGTTGCTGCTGCTGCTGCTGCTGCGACTGCTGTTGTTGCTCCTGGGCACCAGCCCCGGTCCCCTCGTTGGACCCACTGTCCCCGCCGCCACCTCCACCACCCCCACCACCCCCACCATGCCCCCCTTTTGGGCGGCGGCCTCGACGCTGGCGTGGCTGCGCGGAGGCCGCAGCTGCGGTCTCAGCGGCAGGGGCTGTCGCGGCGACAGCGGCAGATGCGTCAGCGTACGTGCACTGGGAGGGTGCACAACCTTGAAATATAGGGACTGCCACAGTACCGCTCGACTAAGCGATAGTGCGCTGGCGAGTCTCTATCTCAGACAGGGCAGTGACAATGGCGGTAAGGGTAAGGTCACCTGGGTGCTGACTAAGGAAGTGGTCGCGGGCAGTGGCTAAGCGGTCTGGAAGGCGCATGGCAATACAGGGTAGCGCAGAACGGCGGGGGGAAGGCAGTAAGCTGGGCCTCAGTGCTAGTGGCGCGGTAGCTAGCCTCTAGTGCACAGAGATGAGTGGCTAAATCAGCTACAGTGGGGAAGGCGGCGAGAGCAGGGAACAACATCGGGAGGATCAGGCGGCCAGCAGAGGCGGAGGCGGGCGTGGAATAGCGCGCAACTACGGCATCTAAGGATTCCTTGGCGTTCGCGAAAGCAGTAAAGCGTGGACGCTTAGACAAGGGAAGAGCGTGACTAATGGCAAGCTGCGCTACGGCATCGTGCGAATCCCAGACAGCGCGAGCAAGCGCAGCAGCAGAAAATGCCTCACGCTGAGCAATGGTGGGGTCAGCAGGGAGGGGATCAGGCGCGGAGGGGCGGGGAAGCAAGCCATCGACATGCACAACCAGGGAGTGACCATCGTCGCGCTGACTTGTGAGGTGATGGCGTAGATCGACAAGCCAGGCGGCAAAGTCGAGCACGTGCCCCTTCGCGTCCTGGCGGAGTACAGAGTCCGCCATCGTACGGCCTCAGCTACCTGACGCCACGGCGGCACGGCGGCACAGCGACACGGCGGCACGACGACACGACGGCACGACGACACGGCGGCACGACGATTCGGCGGCACGGCTCCACGGCAGGAAGGAAGGCGAACACAACCAAGGCAAGCGGGGCGCACCGACTGGTGGAGGCGCGTAAGGTCGGGTGGGGCGCACAGGGCCAGCAGGGGCGCGGAAGTAGCCGGTGGGGCGCAATGGGCCAGCAGGGGCGCGGAAGGGCCGGCTGGGCGCAACGGGCAAGGAGGGGCGCGAAGGGGCTGGTAGGGCGCAAAGGGCCAGCGGAGAGCGATAGGGCTGGCAGGGCTCGAAACGACTTGCGGGGCGCGAGGGGCCGGCGGGGCGCGAAAGGGCTGGCGGAGCGCGAAAAGGCCTGGCGGGGCGCGAAGGGCTGGCAGGGCGCAAAGGGCCTGGTGGGGCTCGAAGAGCCTGGCGGGGCGCGAAAGGGGGCCAGCGGGGCGCGAAGGGCCGGCGGGGCGCGAAGGGCCTGGCGAGGCGCGAATGGGGCCAGCGGGGCGCGAGGGGCCGGCGGGGCGCGAAGGGCCTGGCGGGGCGCAAAGGGGGCCAGCGGGGCGCGAGGGGCCGGCGGGGAGCAAAGGGTCTGGCGGGGCGCGTAGGGGACGGCCAGCGGGGCGCTAAGGCCAGCGGGGTGCTAAGGACAGCGGGGCGCTAGGTGAACAGCGGGGCGCTAAGGCTAGGGCTAGGGCGGAAGCTGGTGGGCGGACCTAACCTAAGCTGATACCATCTCAGAGTAGTAGAATAAACTAGAAAGGAGGGTACACGGTAGTTTTTACCTAATGAGCTGTACTCTTCAAGGCATGCCCCTATCTAGGCTATAGTAACATATAGAGTTTGGGGCGCCTCAAAACCGAGAGAAATATGACTTGATGGGTAACCAGGCAAATACCTACCAGTAGTGCAGGCGGGGGTTGTAAGTTGTAATTGCCAAAGCAATACTCGCACACGCTTATGAGTAGCCACCCGAACCAGAATTATAGCTTATCATACCACAAGAACACAGTGGAAGCAGAAAAAGGCAACACACAAGCACACCTAAGGAACTGTAGCTTACGCTCTGCTTCACTGACCATCCTCTCCTCAAGCCTGCTAAATCACAGCAACAATGGGTTAGACACTAGTAGCACTAGATTATGCCGCGGCGCATCGCATCCGGTCGCGTCGCGTCGCCGCAGCACCGCAAGAAACTAGCACAAAGCAGAATCGATGTCGGGCATGTAACTTCACCACGTGTATTCATGCTCTTTTCCCTCGCACAACTTTGCCACGTGCGTAATCTGCCAAGGCTCCTCTTCCTCCCCCCCCCCCTCTCCCCCTTTCCGCCCCTTGCATAACACACTTCTTTAGCTCCCGCCCGCCCCCCCTCTCCTCCCCTCCTTCGTCGGAACGTCTACTTGGGGACGTACATGCCGGCCCCTCTTCCTTTCACTTCAAGCCTGGAAGAAAATGGGGGACGAGGGGAGAGGAAGAGGACGGATGAGAGGAAGGATGAGAGGAAGGATGAGAGGAAGGATGAGAGGAAGCAAGAGAGGACGCAAGAGAGGACGCAAGAGAGGACGCAAGAGAGGCCGCAAGAGAGGCCACAAGAGAGGCGGGAAAGGCATGAGAGGCTGGCATGAGAGGCAGGCATGAGAGGCTGGCATGAGAGGCTGGCATGAGAAGCTGGCATGAGAGGCTGGCATGAGAGGCAGGCATGAGAGGCAGGCATGAGAGGCTGGCATGAGAGGCTGGCATGAGAGGCTGGCATGAGAGGCTGGCATGAGAGGCTGGCATGAGAGGCTGGCATGAGAGGCTGGCATGAGGTGCCAGCAGGCATGAGGCACCAGCAGGCACAGCACTCGGAGCATCCGCAGTGACATACATACTCCCTGTCATGGCCCCTCATCGACTCAACAGTCACCACTGGAGGTGAATTCTCCCCGAAGCAGCAGCGCCCACCACCACCACATCGCCACCCATATCCAGAGGAGATACGCCACCCCCCGAGAAATCCCCAGCAAAAAACAGGCTCACTGTCATGGCATGCATGCACTCACGAAGGAGCGAGTTTCCCGAGGCCGGGGGGCAGATCCTCCCCGGTTGCAGCGTCCACAAGGTTGCCGTCGATATCCAGCAGGTACGCCACCCCCGGCTCGTCCGACAGACCCCGCTGCATGAGGATATCCAGGTCTCGCCGGTGCAGCTCCCGCCCGTTCACCACCACCCGAGACCGACCCCCGGAAGCTTGTCTCTGCAGTGGCCCCATTGCGAGTTGCTCTATGCCCGCCTGGAGGGAAACGTGTGGATGAGGGGAGACAGCGTGAGAAAGAGGGGGCTCTCAAGCCTCTGAATTCGTCCGACAGCCCTCGCTGCATGGGGATGTCCGGGTCTCGCCGGTGCAGCTCCCGGCCGTTCACCACCACCCGTGACCGGCCCCCGGAAGCTTGTCTCTGCAGTGGCCCCATTGCGAGTTGCTCTATGCCCGCCTGGAGGGAAACGTGAGGATGAGGGGAGATAGCGTGAGAAAGAGGGGGCTCTCAAGCTTCATCCGACAGCCCTCGCTGCATGGGGATGTCCAGGTCTCGCCGGTGCAGCTCCCGGCCGTTCACCACCACCTGAGACCGGCCCCCGGAAGCTTGTCTCTGCAGCGGCCCCATGGCGAGTTGCTCTATGCCCGCCTGGAGGGAAACGTGTGGATGAGGGGAGATAGCGTGAGAAAGAGGGGGCTCTCAAGCCTCTGAATTCGTCCGACAGCCCTCGCTGCATGGGGATGTCCAGGTCGCCGGTGCAGCTCCCTGCCGTTCACCACCACCCTTGAGCGCCCCCCGGAAGCTTGTCGTTGAAGAGGCCCCATTGCGAGCTGCTCTATGCGTGCCTGGAGACGTAAATGCAGGAGAAGAGAAGGGTGGGTGAACAGGTGAGAGGCCGAGCATGGGGATGTCCAGGTCCCCGCTGTGCAGCTCGCTGCCATTCAACCACCCGAGACCGGCCCCCGGAAGCTTGTCTCTGCAAAGGCCCCATCGCAAGCTGCTCTATGCCCGCCCGGGGGATTGAAGGTGGGCGGGGAAGGGGGGTGTGCTTTTGCATGGGGCATAGGGAAAGGGGGGCATGGGGCACGAGGCATGGGCGTGGGGCATGGCTTACCGGAATGATCCCGAGACATGGCCCGCCCACCACTCCCCAGAAGCCGGCATCCACGTCATACCTGCACGGACGAGAAGGGGGGAGGGGTGAGGGGGGAGGGGGGGGGGGTGGGCGGTGGCGGGCTCGGGGAGACGTGGACGAGCGCCAAGATAAGATGGGAACATACGGCTGCCTGGGGAAAGTGTGAAACACTCTTCGCTTCTAAAAAATGACTCCACTTCCAAGTAATTCAGGTGAGTGAGTGCTGGTTCAAACCCAACGTACCAATAGGTGCCCGGATTGATGGGGCCAGCCAGCCTCTCAGCTTCCGCCACCTGGTGATCCGGGATTGGCACACTGTTCACCACCACTCTCCTCTGATACGCCTGACCACCCCCCACCCCCTCCTCCTCCTCCTCTTCCTCCTCCTCCTCCTCTTCCTCCTCCTCCTCTTCCTCTTCCTCTTCTTCTTCCTCCTCTTCCTCCTCTTCTTCCTCTTCCACTCCCCTCCTCCCCCCCACCATTCCTCCTCGCCCCCTTCCCACCTGCGCCCCCCTCCCCATTGCCCCCATACCTCCTCTCCCTGCGGGCCCCCCTCCCCCGCCCCCTCCGCCCCTCCCCGGCCCCATTTCCCCCCGCGTCATCCCTCTCCCCCCTGATCTCGGGCTACCCACGCCTCTCCCCGCCATGCCCCCTCCGCCCATTCCCCCTCCCCCCATCCCCCCTCTTCCCCTCCCCATGGGTCTGGGACTGGGGGCTTCCTCCGCGGGGGAAAGGGGGAGCGAATCCAGCCCTTGGTGCTGCTGCCCGTACTGCTGATTATACTGCTGCCCGTATTGCTGCTGCTGCCCGAACTGCTGCCCGCCCCGCCCGCGGCCTCTGGGGGAGGGGGAGACCGGGGGGAACCCGCCAGAGTGCTGCTTTCCCAGGGGGGACCGCCCATCCCCCCTGCCTGGTTCCCCCCGCGCACTACCAGGCCCATACTGGTACTGCAGCTGCTGCTGCTGCTGCTGCTGCTGCTGCTGGTGGTAATACTCCTCATCCCCTCCCCGGCTATTATTCCCTCTTCTGCCAACTCTCCCGCCCCCTACTGGCCCTCCTCCCCCTCCCCCGCCCCCGCCATTCTCCCCTCCCCCTTCCTCCCACCCGCCTCCGCCCCCCATTCCGCTTGACTCTACAGACGACTTCCGCGAGTGAGGCTGGGGAAATCCCCCGCCAGGCATCGCCCCCCTTGCACTGCGCGGACCCGCGCCCATTGGCTCCCCCACTCCGCCCATTCCGCCTCCCCCTGGGCCTGGCCCCGCGCCCCCGTACTGCTGCTGGCGCAAGCTGCTGCTGCTAGCCGCGGAGCTATTAGAGCCGGATCTGCGGTGCCCGCCTGGTGGGAGGGGGCGGAAGGGCATCCCCCCTCCCCCTTGGTCCCCATACTCGCTCCCCGCCTCACTGTCCCTTCCCCCGCCTCCCCCACCCGCCCCCCCGCGCGCTGAACCGCTCATGCCCCGCCTGCCGCCCGCTCCCCTCATCCCCGCCCCTGAATCGTCCTCTGACATGCTCCCCGCGCCCCTGCCGACGCTGGCGCTTGCGCGCCCCCCGCCCATCCCCCCCGCCTGTGGCTGCTGCGTGCCCTGGAAACTCCGCGAGGCCCTAAAGTTCCCTGACGCGGACCTTCCCCGCGCGGACAGCCCCTGCTGCTCCTCCTCGTCCTCCTCCACCTCTTCCCCCTCTTCCCCCCGCTGCGGCTGCTGCTGCTGCCGCCGTTGCCGCTGCGCCTGCGCCTGCGCCTGCGCGTGCGCCTGTTGCTCTTCCGCCTCCTCGTCCTCTTCCGCCGTGGGCGGGAGGAAGACGGCGTAGCGCGACACCTTGAGGCACTTGCCGCACCGCAGTTTCTGCTGGCCCTTCTTGGGCGGCGGCAGGTTGATGGGCACCGCTAGGGTTTGGAAACACCACTGGCACTGCAGGGGGTACGACCGGGGAAAGGGGGGTGGGGGCGGAAGGGGCAGGTTGATGGGCACCGCTTGGGTTTGGAAGCACCACTGGCACTGCAGGGGGTGATTGATGGGAGAAGGGGGGGGCGGGCAGAGGAGGGGAGAGGGAGGGGGAGAGGAAAGGAAGGGGCAGGTTAATTGGCACGGCTAGAGTTTGAAAGCACCACTGGCACTGAAGCCGGTAGGACCCCGGGGGGAGGTTTGGGGGGCGGGGGGGGGGGGAAGGAAGGGGCGTTGGGTAAGACGATGCTGATGTCATAAAGCATGTTTGCCCGGGAGAGGTTGAGAGAGGGAGAGAAAGGGGAGGAGTAGGGCGGGAGGGGAGCCAATGGGGGGGAGGGGGGTTGGGGAAGAGGGTTGGGCGGAGAAGGCACGCGCTAGCCTGCACGTTTGCCGCCTTCACCGACCTAGGAAGGGCGCTTACCAGCATGACTTGCGGAGAAGGGGGGAAGGGGAGATGGGGGGATGGGGAGGGGGCGCTGACCTGCACGACTTGCGGAGCTCCGGGCGGCGGAAGCATGGGCAGGCGCTGCCGCGGAACATCCTTCCCCGAGATCGTCCTATTGTCCGCCCCGCGCCCCACCGCCGCGATTGTCTTCGCGCGGGAATAGTGCACACGTTCCTCCCCCCCGCTCGCGCTTCCGCTTCCGCCCATGCCGAGTTTCGAGCGCGTGGGCGCAGGGCTGCGCGCGGAAGCGGTGGACATTGCGGAGAGGGCGGAGACGGCGGAGGAGGAGGAGGAGGTGCGCGAGACGGAGGGGCGCGCCCCGTCTGGCCCCCGCTCGTCGTCGAGCATGCGCTCGGAATGGGCCGAACTGACCGAGGCTTGGCCGAAGCTGCTGGTTCGGGAAAAGCGCTCGTCCTGGCGCGAGGGAAGCAGAAGGTGAAAAGACGATAACAATTAAAAAATGAAAACTGATGGAAACTGATGCTATTGTTACACTGGAAATAAGTAATTTGGAAATAATAAAATAAAAATAGTGAATAAAAAAGCTGGAAGTTTCCGCGTAGGCTGATCCATGAGCGTGATGAATACTTAATCCCTGACCTCGTCCATGGGTTCTCCTCGCGACGCACTGCGCGCCGAGCTGTATCCGCTCTCCTCCGCGCCCATGCTTGTGAATCGACTCAAAAGCTTACCTCGTCCATGGGCTCCCGTCTTGACGCACTGCGCGCCGAGCTGTACCCGCTCTCGCCCATGTCCATACTGCCATCCCCCGATGGCCGCCTCCGCCTACTCGCCGACCCCCTCCCGCCACCTCCCCTGCCATACCCGCCACGTGGCGACGGCGACGGCATGCCACGTGGCGTCAGGTCATCTTCCGAGTACGCTACCGGGTTACTGTACGAGTTGGTTCTGTTAACGGTGGGGCCGTCTTGCCATCGGTCCGGTCGATCGCCTTCGTCGTCGGATCGCTCGGCCGTCTGTTTTTTAACGGGCTTGCCGGAGGAACGAACGCCGCCACTCCCTCTGCCTCGCCCACTCCCGCCAGACGCACCGAGGGATCGCCCCGGAGTTGTCGCGTTAAGTCCGTTAGGGTTTCGCCCCGGGCTCGCTGTGATGCCTAAATTGCGCGGCGGCCATTGGCCCTGTCCTGATGAGCGGCTCGAGCCGTCCATGTTATGTTAGAGGAGTAGACGCGTAAGCCGAAATTAGGACTTAATTAGACATAGGTTAGACTAACTGGGCGGATCTGGGCTAACAGGCATGACCTCCGAGTATTGTGATAAGACAAGCGGACACCAAATAGAGCGAATAAAATTACGCGACAAAAACGGAACAATATTTCGGCCAAAGGGACTGCCCGATGAGGGGCGCACAACACAGGGCTTACTAAGCCTAACGACAGTCAATATGAAGCTCAAAGGTGAATAGCATCCCTTACGTCTATGACGCACCAAGGTAAATGGCATGGGCTTTTCCTAAGCGACATAAAACGGGGAAAATGGCGGGAGAAATTAGGGTTGCAGAACAAGCGGTGGGTAGTGGTGAGACTGGTTTTGCTTTTCAACAACTGCTTGTTTCTAGCGTCTCGGTGGGACCTGGACTGGAAGGGAGCAAAGTCGGTGGTTGTGTGGTGTGGTGGCGTGGTGGTGGGGTGGTGTGTGGTGGGGAAGGAAATGGCGGTTGGTTGGGGGAATCGTCGAGTCGGAGAGGGAGGCTCAAGTCTTGCACAGCTCTGGAGACTCTCGTCTCGACTCTCTCGACTCTCGACTCGAGTCTCTGGCTGGCCCACCTGTCTCGCTCCCCTGGCTCGACATTATCTGGGGCTGGCTGGGAGTTGGAGAGGGGGGGCGCTGGTTGCGTGCCAGCCTTGGGAACTGCGGGTGCAAACATCGAGGGTGCGAGTCGTGGCGGCGGACCTGCAGTGATGTTATAACGAGAGTGGGGCGAAAGCAGTTTGGTTGCCTCGGAAAGCTGGTTCGTGGCGTGCTCAGGGCGTGTCCAGCGCGTTCCTATACTATTCACTTTGCATATCAGGTACGAAATTTTGATCTGGTAACTCGAAATTTCGTGTCCAATCGGACACGCGCGAGAAATTGACGGTTTTGGCGAACACCCTCCAAACGTTCCCACATACATGGGCCGCACGTTTCCGAACTGAATGGAGATCGTGCCCAAATTATACACACGGCAGAAACGTCCAGATCCTGGCTGGCGAAAAATAGAACGCTTACATTCGCCAGGCTTTCGTGACGCATGCGGCGCACCGGGCGGGGCCTCTTTCCCGGGGCGAAATTCGGTTACCCTGCTGTTTGGTGTGTCACTCTGTTATGTGCGCGCTGCGTGTAAGGAATTTCCATTCCTTACTGAGTCGCCCGCTATCGCGTACACCCGAACACTTCGACTCGTCGCGTTCGGCCTACATTTTCGGCCCAACCCTTTCTCGAGTCACGTCTGACAGCGTCGCCACATTGCCGAACCTAACCACGTCCCGAGGTTATCGCCCTATTACGTCTATGCCTATATAACCTCGTGTTTCACGTTATAGTTCTTTGACATCTTCTAAATCATAACAGCTGGTATCAGAGCCCGACCTTTCTCGGAACCTTCCGTTTTCCCCGTTAATTAGTTAAGGGTGGTCAGAGGGGATTAACACGGCTGCACGGCAGTTGTCTTCGATCGTAAATATTTTTACGTCAACAACTACAGCGTGTGCGCTAGTTTCTGCCCCGTCCTGACCGCCATGGCCCCGGTAGACTCGACGGTTGAGGAACAGACAACCTCGACCGCTGCGAACTCTGCCGGGGAAACAGTAGACCTGCAAGCATTAATGGAGCAGCTGAATAATTTGACAAGCGTCGTCAACAACCTCCGTGATGAAAACCAACGACTTCGCCAGGCGCAGGAAAGGCGTTCAGAGGAACCAGGCGACGATGCACGAAGCGAGGCGGGTGAGCAGCAACCGACACTAGTGGAGCTGGCACGGCTAGCGGCAACAGCCCCGCGCTCGACAAGTGGCGGCGTGAGATATCAGCAACCCGCTCCTTTCGACCCAGCTAATAAAGGCAGTGGATATTCGCCATGAATATCTACTTCAACGCGGCGGGCATCCGAGACGACCAGAAGCGAATCAGCCACGCGTTGACACTGCTGCAAGGGGCTGCCCTACAGTGGTGGAAGGTCATCGTCGACTCAGCGGCAACTCGCATAGAAGGACGGCATGAGTGGTCCGAAGAATTCGGCGACGAGGACGAAGCAGACTTGCTGTTTGGTGCAACTCACATTCGCACGTGGGCAACGTGGTGCGCAGAGCTTCGCAAGCGGTTTGAGCATGCTCCTGACTCAGACAAAGCGCGCGAGACTTTACGCATGTGGAAGCAGCTAGGATCTGTATCTGACTACACCGCGTCATTCTTGACGTTGGTGGATCGATGTGGCTACATGCACGGGTTGGAGAAGGTCGACAGGTACATGGGCGGGTTGAAGCCTGAAATACAGTACCAAATAAAATTACAACGACCTGCGAAGCGGTTACAAGACTTCATCCAACTCGCCGAAGCCGCTGACTCGCTCACGAAGCCGAGGACGAACTTCTACGACGGAGGTCACCCTCGAGAACAGTACCAGTGCGCCATGATACAAGGGATGGACGCAATGGATATTTACGCAGTTGCTCCGCGAAATACGGGGCTATGCTACCACTGTGGCCGACCGGGTCACATCAAACGCAACTGCCAAGTATTCATAGCCACCCAGAATTCTATGGGGAAGAAGCCGGAGGAGCGACCGGGAAATGGGTCGCGTCAGTAAGTACCGGGCCCCTTACTGACGGGCAGGCTTCTTCGCCCGAACCACACAGTCCCCACCGGGTCGTGATCCCGATTGCTGCAATCGACTGGACCCGGATGAATAAGGGGGACGAAACTGCTGATCACCCTGTGTTGGTGGAGGGTAAAGTCAACGGGGTGTTTCTGAAAATATTCATGGATGGAGGCGCGAGTCACAGTCTCATATAGCTAGACAGGGCTAAGAAAATGGGTATCCCCTTATTAATGTGCCTACCCGAAATTGACGCAAGACTGGTGGATGGAACACCGCTGGCTATACGGGAGCGAGTGGAGCACGTCAGTTTCCACTGCGGCGAGCATGTAAAATTTCGGATGGGGCTGCTGGCGACTACACTCGACGGGTGCGACGTGCTGCTGGGAAGGGATTAGCTGCGACAGTACAACCCGAGAATCGACTGGACGACGGGCAGCTGCAGCATCAAAATCGAGGGGCACTATCACGAGTTACCGAAATGGACGGGACCCCGCATGCGCAGTACCCAAGTCCACGCGACCACCTTCAAGCGCGCGATAAAAGCGGGAGCAGCAGCATACGCCGTCGATCTTCGCGAAGTGACGTCGCCGATAACAGCGGAAGATATCTCGAAGCTGTGTGAAGCCGTTCCTCCGGATTTAACGAAACTCATTCGAAAATACCCCAAGATTTTCCCGGACGATCTACCCGCCGGACTTCCGCCAAGCCAACCCGAAGACCATCGCATAGACCTAGAACCAGGCGCACAACCGACAGTACAGCGACAATTTCGGCTCAGCCAACCTGAACTCGAAGAATTGCAGCAGCAGCTGGATTACCTCCTGACGAAGGGTTTTATCCGACCCAGCACGTCCCCATATGCCGCCCCGATAATGTTCACACCGAAAAAAGATGGAGGATTTTGCATGTGCATCGACTACCGCGCGCTGAACCGCATCACCATCAAGTCCCGTTACCCGATCCCGCGAGCCGACGATCTCCTCGACCAACTTCGCGGAGCCAAGTTCTTCTCAAAAATCAACCTGCGAGGAGGTTACCATCAAATTCGCGTCGCCGCCGACGATTGTCACAAAACCGCTTTCCGATCCCGCTACGGTAGTTACGAATACCTGGTGATGCCCTTTGGCCTCACGAACGCTCCCTCGACTTTTCAGATGACTATGAACGGTGTTTTCCACGAACTCCTGGATAAATGCGTAATTATCTACCTCGACGACATCCTCATCTACAGCCGCAGCAGGGAGCAGCACTTAAAGGATCTTGATGCAGTCTTCACGCTGCTGCACAAGAATCGCCTCATCACGAAAGGGTCTAAGTGCGATTTTCTTAAGCAGGAGTTGGAGTTTTTGGGACACGTCGTCTCTACCGAAGGCGTGAAAATCGACCCCAAGAAAATCAAGACTATCCAGGAATGGAAGCCGTCGACCAACCTCAAGGAACTGCAGAGTTTTCTGGGTTTCGTCAACTACGTCCGCCGCTTCATCCCCAATATGGCTGGGTTATCTGCTCCACTAACTGACCGCCTGAAGGATCACGACTGTTTTTGGTGGGGAGAGAAGCAGCAAGCTGCATTCGACCAACTCAAAATCGCCCTCACGTCGCCGCCCGTACTTCGCATCTCCGATACCGACCGTCCATACGAAGTCGTCACCGACGCCAGCGACATCGCCATCGGTGCAGTTCTCCTACAGGATTTCGACGACGGGTTACAACCAGTCGCCTACGAATCACGGAAGTTGCAGGGCGCGGAGAAGAACTATACAGTACACGACAAGGAAATGCTGGCGATCGTCCACGCGTTCAAAACCTGGCGGTGCTACCTGACCGGAGCTGATGTCACGGTTCAGACGGACCACAAATCCTTACAGTACCTGCGCGCCCAACCGAATCTCAACCCGCGACAGATCCGATGGCTCGATTTCCTCGAGTCCAATTTCCATTACACCATCACCTACAAACGGGGTGCCAATAATATCGCCGATGCCTTGACCCGCCCTACTGTGCATACCGCCGCGATACTAGTCGCCCAGACCAACCCATTACTTACGGGACTATTCACCCACGGCTACAAGATCGATCCCTTTTTCCGCTCACCCATCCATCAACAACATACCACCGCCACCAGGCCATATTTTTATAAGCGTGGTACTTCTCGCATTTGGGTGCCGAGCTACGATTTACTTCGTACCCTCCTAATCCAAGAATCCCACGACAACCCTACCTCAGGCCATTTCGGCGTCGATAAAACCACGAAGACATTGCAGCGGAATTATTAGTGGCCGAACATGGCCGATGACGTGCGCAAGTACGTGTCCTCCTGCGCTGCCTGCCAGATTATGAAATCGTCGCATCAGCGAGCAGCCGGACTACTACAGCCATTGGATCCGCCCGGGCGACCCTGGCAACAGGTCACGATGGACTACGTGACGGGACTACCGGCCGGTCCCAGCAGAAACGACGCCATCCTCGTGGTCGTTGACCGACTCACGAAAATGGCGCACTTCATCGCCTGCCAACAGACAATCATAGCCGAACAAACCGCGCGACTGTTCCTCACGAACGTCATCCGACTGCACAGACTGCCCTCCGCCATCATTTCAGACCGAGACCCGAAATTCACATCGAATTTCTGGCGCCACCTATGGGACCAATTCGGCACCAAACTCCAATTTTCATCCGCCTACCACCCCCAAACCGACGGGCAGAC